ACTTTATTATCTATTTTGCATATTTACATCTCTACGGTATCGAAAGCGTGCAACGCGGAATAACTCTAATCAACAGTTTAAATTCAAATTCAAAGCCGAACTTATCTGCAGCATGACTGGAGTCTTAACTTATGAAGACTCCAAAGAAAATAGAAACTTACTTTTATGATAAACTTTAGGATGTCTACAAATCTGGGAATTGAACTGTGCTCCCCATCAATGATATGTCTTCAAAGAGCGAATGGATAGTGTGTTTGTTATAGGCCGAAATATATCTCTATAATTTTTTCAACGATTTTCATTTGAATTCGGAAGGTCTCATAAACAGAACAAAACGTTTGATTCGATACTCCTGACTTTGTTTCTTCATTATTTTATACGCTTCAAACCTTCATTTCCCCTAAGTTTTGTATGTCTGAAGGACAACCTCGTTCCTGGGTTAAGCWTATGACGTCATATGCYTCACGTTTGKGTAAAACCGCCAACCGATGTCACTTCGGCTCAGGTTAATGGCGGATAGGAAAAAAACGACTTTCAAATCTCGATTTCTTCTGCTTTTCAATGATGTATCGATAAAAAATTATACAGAAATACTATTTGGATCTTCATAAAGAGGTATATGTACAAAAACATCTCAAATTCGATGTTCGGTTTTCATCGTACCCGCACTTTAACCAAAAAATTAGCAAAATATGTGCACATGAAACTCATTGTTAACGAATTTTAATTTTTTTAATTTTAATTTTTTTTTATTTTTTTAATAGCATAAGTATCAGTATCTCGAAGGAGATTGGGGCGGAGCGAGAAAGGAGAGAGAGCCTGACACAATCTTCTATGAATTGAGAGCGGTGTTCAGCGGCCGTTTCATGGCCGAAACGCTGATTGGTCTAGAGGACAAAGAAAGTGACCGGAAATAAAATATATATTATATTATGTTACCAAACAACATCGATGTCTCTTGATATAAGTGAAGAACAGCTAGCTTGGGAAAGCTTTAAAAGATACTTTCGACATCCTAGGAATGAATCTTAAGCCAGGGCAAGCCGAGTGTATGCTTCGTGTATGCTCGGGGTGCTTCCTACTGGCTACGGAAAACGTTTAATCTACCAAATTCTGCCGAAACTCTTCTAAGCCATATGAAGGGATAAATGGAACGTAGTGAATATAAACAATTCAAGATTATAGTGATCAATCCTCTAGATGTTATTAGACGTCCACAAGTTGAGATGCTAGTAAAATCGTCATAAAAGCCTCGACCGCGAGTCATGTAATAGCCAAATTTTGACATATAACCGCCAAGGTTTTAATTGGCTGGAATTTATTGTCACGCATCACGCATTGCAAGGGGGCGGAACGGCTCTCGATAGAAGATTGTGTCAGGCTCTCTCTCCCTTGTCGTTCTGCCCAATCCCCTTGGAGAGAGCCTGACACTCAGGCTAACAAATTAAAGGTCTGATCTCATTTTTTAACTTGACCCTCACGCCCCCTCCAAATCCCTGCTTAAACAGGCAAATTCGACCATTTTTAGCACAATGTTTTGCTCAAAATACTCTTTAAAATAGATATTAAGAAAAAAACCTAGAAACGGAATATGAAAATGTATTTTCTAACGGAATATAATGTATTCACTTAAGAGTCTTGTGTGTTTTAGTCCCCTTGGACTAATAGAAGCGTGGCGATAGTTGACTACTTAAAAGCATGCAAGTGTAGAGTATGTTTTGCCATCTCACTCTCGCAATCCATAGCTAAGTCTAGAGTGCCCTCCCCCCACCCGAACTTCAAGTTTGCTGGTATCTTATATGAATGTGTTTTTCTTGTTATTAAATTGTATTTATGTAGGCCGTTCAGAGAATAACCCTATTCAGACTGGGGGGGGGTCTTTTGAGCCACCCCTCGCGTAAAAAGCCAATAACTTTCGAACCAAGACATCTACATCTACATCTACATCTACATCATTTATTTGCAAGATCCTGGCGGACATACAGCAAATTCCAAAATTGTTAAATTAAATTAATAAATAAATGTACAAATGGAGTGAAGTATAAAAAAGTATAAATGCCATGTTATTATTATTATTGTTATTATTATTATAGTTATTATGGGTTATAGTTATTATTGGCTAAGTAAAAAATTATTAATGGCTGGCTTAAAATTGTCTAATGTCAGATTCATGATATTCGGCGGCAGAGTGTTCCAATCCTTTATTGTTCTTGGCCAGAAACTGTACTTATATTCGTCGCATGACACTGGTAGTGGTATAAACTTTAGTGCATGGGAGTTCCTTAATTTCATCACGGTTTTGTGTTTAACATACGGGGGTATGATTACAGCCGCTTGTCCCATCAGTGCTTTGTGCATTAGTGTTAACCTGTTGACTTTTCTTCTGTGCTCCAGCGTGGGCCACTGTAGGTGGTTTAATGCCTGAGTTACACACCCTTCCTGTCTTGAGTACGTTTTAGTGACGAAACGTGCCGCACGTCTTTGAACTTGTTCAAGCATGTTTTTCTGATATAGCCTGTAAGGATCCCATGCGCTGCTACCATATTCGAGTATAGGTCTCACTAAGGATGTATACGCTTGAGCTTTTACCNTTTAGCTTCGATTTTTCGGATAGAATAAAATGACAGGCAGCCTACTCCACTGGGTCGAGTTTTGCTGTGCAAATTCCTACCGTCGGAGGGTTATGTTTACAACATAAGCTTGTCAGCTTTGCGCTGATTGGCTAGTCGCATTTTCTCAAATCACCCAGTTTTCGACAACAAAAATTTTTGGGGGAGGGTTGGGTAGTTTTCAGTCATTTTTTCACATGGGAGAAAATTTCATTAAAATCATCAGTAGCACTTCGAAACTCACTTTTTTATTCCTTAAATGTTAGTTTGAGAAATATTTAAGACATTTTGAACTGTTTGCCTCAATGCTTAGTTTTTTAATGGCATTTTTGAAAATTCAAGATGTCGGTCCAAGATGGCGGATTCTAAGATGGCGGATATTCTTCTCAAAATTGCTTGTTYCAAATTGTTTAACTTCAAAAACTTCTCAAATTGTAGATTTTACCATAAAATAATGATGTAGACAAAAAAAATGAGTCAAATTATTCAAAGACGACAAAGACACTATAGGAAATGACGTCATCACAATTATGACGTCACAACTGTTACCATGGATACAAAACGAACCACAACATCACAGGAGTGCAGTAACGCCTAAATATGATATTTTCAAACTGGTTATCTAGATACAGATATATAATTTATAAAAATTACCTGATATCTATGACGTCATTGTGACGTCATTTAGAACAGGGGTCAACTAGAAAATGCAAAAATATCATTTTCAACTCATTTCAATAATAAACAGATGATATTGCAGCATTCTCTATGGAATTGTAGGCAATTTATTAAAATGAATTATAAATCGTTAAAATGATCATCATCAAACGATGTTTCCTCCAAATAAGTGTGATTCAATAGTTGACAGTTTTCTTGAGGTAAATGATAATCTTGATCTCTACGAATATGAAAGATCCGGCAAAAGTTGCAATGTAAATGGAAATCTTAAAAAAGTAATGTTGAATTCTCGAGGAGGATTGGTTCACCTCAGTATATTCTATCAGTTATATGCCAATGTTTATAGACTAGTTTTTGAATCGACGCCTCCAGAGGTTTATCTCAAGAACAATAAATCAGCCTTATGTCATTCTGATTTTGTCGAAGAAGCTATTTGTGAAATATTGGACGCTGGAAGAATTAGGGAATGTAAAGATGCCCCGTTTATCGTTGATCCTTGAAGTATTTCAGTTCAGTCTTGCGGTATGAAAAGGTTAATTTTGGACCAAAGGCATCATTGGTATTATTTACATGCTCAAAATGCACTTGCTGAAGTAGTGGTTCACTTTTGGCCGTCATCATAATTCTAGCCTATTTTATGTAGAAAATTCTGTCCAAACATAAGAGCGCAAAAACGTTTTGTTGGAAAAGATGCGTTAGCGCACGGAAAAAACGTCAATTCTCTCCTGKGGTCAGATCAATTCACGGGTAAAGTCTTCGCATTACGTATGGTTTTTCGTGAACGTCGTCCATGTTGTATTTTGTCCGAGGCGCTTGCCTTCCAGTTATGCATCCGCTTGGAATCATTGATTTGATTTGTATTGTGAACTACTGTTGTGTTTGCGTTTGCATTGGTTAGCATTAGTTAATTAAGGCACTGGTCTATTATGTGAAGTTAACCGTGTTATTAAATTATGGTGCTTACCTTAATTGTRGATTCCATTATGTTTTTGGCGCTTGCTCTCTTGTGGAGTCTGGTTTGGTGCTTTAACCGCTGGGTAGTTTCAACATTGCKGGGCTCACGCTAATTTTTACGTGTTTTTCTTTTTCTTTTATATTTTTCAGATGWTTGAAAGTTGTACAAGGTGGAGTGTACCCAGCGCCGCTAAACCCGATTCCAGAGAGTTAATACATCAGCTTATTAAGAGTATGGAAGAGTCCACCTCTTCCAGATATTTGGGCGAATTGTTTAAGTTTCGATCTTGGTGTTGCACCTGTAATATTCCAGCAATTCCCCCTTTCTCTGTTTCGATTGCTTTAGCCTATTTAGTGTCAGTTTACAAACAATCCAAGTCTTATAGTAGGATCGTTTTACTTCACGGGGTGTAAATTGTGTGACGCGCAATTGTGTGGCGCGCAACTCTCAGTTCTGCTGCTAGGCCTACAAGGCATTTATAAGTCCTGATAGGTCTAAACGCCTCTCACACTTAAGCCAGCTCCACCTCCGTCATTAGGACAGGTACACCCCGGGGATCCTGGTCTTGCGACCGGGTGAGCAAACGGAGCACTTGCACCAGTCTGTGAAGTAGCCTCTTTCATTCTGGAAAGTGACCTTTTAAAAAGGCAAAAGAAAGTTCTCTCTTTCGGAATTATTTATTTATTTATGTATATTTATCTTATATTTAATGGAGTATTGAACAATAGATTGGRTCACGTTAATATTACTACATCAGAATGCCGGTGTGTGGTAAAAACTACCATACTTTTCGACTTGGCTCTATTAACGTGAGGACAGGAAAGTGTGAAAGTAAATTAGCTGACTGTGTTCTACAGTTCAAGAACCTGTCTCATGATATCTCATGCATGCAGGAGGTAAGACAGAAAGGACAAGGAGAAATCGTTTTTGATGACCCTATTCTCAAAGGATGGCGTGTCATATATAATGGMATGAAAACAGCAAAAGCGGGTGTAGCTATTGCCCTCGCCCCTCATGTCAATCTAGTGGATATGGATCATGCAATCGAGGGACGTCTGAGCATGGTGCGAGTCACAGTACATGGGATTAAGTTGTCCATCTTTACCTGTTATTGCCCTACTGAAGAATATGCCGAAACCACCAAACAAGCATTCTATCAAGCACTGCATAAAGCGATAGGACAGGTCAAGACAAAACACCCATCRTACAAGCTAATCGTCGCCGGTGACTTCAACGCCACAATCGGGATGGACTGTGATCCAATTAAATGGCACTGTGTCGGGCGTTTCCATGACCCCAATCCTACGAGCTATAATGGTGCAAGATTSATAGAAACKGCAGAGACCAACAASCTGTTCTTATTAAACACGATGTTCGACACAAAGTCCGACGAGCACAGATGGTCTTTTGTATCAAACCTKGGTTACAAACGAAGACTAGATTACATCATGTCAGAGTGGTATGTGAAACGGGCGACGAAGAACTGCAGGGTATACCCCATACAGAGCGAGCCCTTCRAATCTGATCACAGGGTGGTAGTAATGCAGKCTAGTTTTCCAACAAAAAGGAAGACAAAGCAAATATTCTCAGGTAAACCTAAATGTGAAACTCGTCAAGATGTCAGGCAGCTCAGAGATGACCAGTCTGTGCAGGATGCGTATAGCTCTAAGCTTGACCAACTCATGCAACACAAACCGGATTCACAGAACATGGATGACGTCGAGGAGTTTATATATAGTCGATACGATCAAACAAGCCTCAAAGGAGGCACTCCCCTCACATGTAAAGAGCATAATTCAAAAACCATGGGTAAATCAAAAATACCAAGAACTCTTGTTAAAGCAACGTCATGAGAAAGACAAAGATAAAAGAAAGTYTATTGGAGATGACATTAAGAAACTACGTACCCGACTTAAGAACGCCTATTTCAAGACCAAGGCAGATAATATCAATCTGGCAAGTGAGAACCGAAACGCTGAGGAGGAATTTAGGCTAATGAAACAACACACGTCTCTGGAGAAATCCAATAAGTTGCTGATACCTCTAGCAAAATTAGAAGACCATTTCGCTGAGCATTTTGRCACGCGACCATATGAGCCCCAACCGGAGTTAGAACAACCTGAAGCATACCCACATGTACTACCACCAGACGATATTCCGGACATTGRCACCACGGTCCCAGACGGCAAGGAAATCGCAGCAGGATTGAAAAGACTTAAGAATGGGAAATGCATGGGAACAGATAGAATCCACTCCGAACATCTGAAGTACTCAACATCGAAACACCTGTTAGAATACTTGGTACTCCTAGTGAGCTTGATATGGACATGTCTGCAAGTACCAACCCGATGGCTCACTGCAAGCATCACCTGCCTTTACAAGCGTGGTCCCAGGTCCTTGGCCGAGAACTACAGGGGACTCAGTATTATTGCAACTCTTTCAAAGATCCTATCGGCCATAGTAGTAGAAAGAGTCAAGGATGCGTACGAATACATTCTGCTACAAACACAGTTCGGTTTCCGTGGCAATCGGTCAACTAACGATGCTATTTTCATAGTACGTCATGTGCTTGAGAAAGCMMAAAAATCTGGGACCCCACTATATGTTGCTTTCATCGATTTGAAAGCAGCATATGATTGGATACCACGTGARGCCCTAATGAAGTGTCTTGAAATCCGACTRAACWGTCCTCGTATTGTAGCTGTTCTCAAAGCTCTGTACACTGATACATCTGCATACATCAAAGGTTCCACCAGGGTGTTTGACACTAAAGTCGGATGTAGACAGGGCGCCATGGAATCCCCGACTYTATTTAATATATATATGGACTTCGTGATTAGAATTGCTAAGCATGAAGTGGAAAAGGTATGTCCGGGTGCAGGTTTCAAGATCAAATACTGTATCCCCAATGAGGTATCACCAAGGGAACTCCGTGGAAATGYCAGAGCGAGATCTAGTCTTAGTGGTTGTGGAAGGTGATGGTCCCCCATTGTTTGACCGTACATGGTTAAATGAGATTAGAGTACCTGTAAAGAAATTCTTAATGTTAACTGTGTCACGTCTGAACTTGACAATTTACTAACTGATTTTGCCTGAGTTATTTAGGTGTGAGCCGGGTTGTCTGAAGGGATACGACGCTCACATCCAGATTGAAGAGGGTGCCAAGCCTGTGTTCTGCAAGGCAAGACTACTCCCGTTTGCTGAAAAAGTAAGGATCGAAGCCGAACTACAAAAGCTAGAGAGTCAAGGAATCATAGAGAAGATAGTCCATTCGGACTGGGCGGCTCCAATTGTACCTGTAGTGAAACCGACTGGTGCCATTCGGTTGTGTGGAGATTACAAGGTGACTGTCAACACTGTGTCTAAACCTGACAAGTATCCGTTACCTAAGGTAGATGAAATCCTTGCAACTTTGGCCCATGGTGAGAAATTTACTAAGCTCGACCTTCCCAGGCGTATCACCAAATTCCACTAGATGAAGCGTCGAAGAAATTGACTACGATAAATACCCATGTTGGTCACTACCAATACAACCGACTTCCCTATGGAGTGTCCTGCGCAGTCAGTCTCTTCCAACGCACGATGGAGAATGTTCTAAAAGGAATTCATGGTGTCAGTGTGTACTTGGATGACATTTTGGTCACGGGTCGTGATGATGCTGAGCACTTATCTAACCTCCGTGCAGTGTTGAATCGGTTACAAGAGCATGGTCTGCGTCTACAGAAGACGAAGTGTAAATTCATGCTAGCTGAMGTCGAGTACCTAGGATACAAGATCAGCAAGGATGGAGTCAAACCAACGGAGTCCAAGGCCGAGGCAATCAAGGAAGCACCAGCCCCGAGTAATGTGTCTGAGTTGCGCACCTTCATGGGGTTGGTTAACTATTACTCAAGCTTTCTTCCAAACCTGGCCCACCACATGGCGCCATTATACCTATTGCTTAAGAAGGATCAACCATGGACTTGGGGACAAAAGCAGCAGGCGTCGTTCCAGAAAATCAAGATGATGATGACTGACAATGTCACGTTAGCGCACTACGACCCTGATGTCGAGCTAGTACTTTCGTGTGATGCATCCGCATCTGGCATTGGGGCAGTCCTGCACCAACCTKATCTAAATGGTGAGTTGAGACCAGTTCATTTTGCTTCTCGCAGCCTCACAGGTGCTGGGAAGAACTACGCCCAAATCGAGCATGAAGGTCTAGCGATCATATACGGAGTGCAGAAATTTCGTCAATATCTGCTGGGCCGTATCTACGACCTTATTTCTTGCGTAAGACAGAATTGACAGTTGAACAAGGGTGTGTCTTGTGGGGGAGTAGAGTCATTATTCCTGCCTCACTTAGACCAACACTCTTGCTTGATTTGCATACGGAGCATACGGGTACAGTTAGAATGAAAGGTCTCGCAAGGCAGTATTTTTGGTGGCCTAAAATGAATGATAACATTGAACAGATAACTAAGCATTGTGTAGAGTGTCAGGA